CTGAAGTTGGTAGCCTGTATGAACGGGGTGTCAGAGGAATCAGGTCAGGTTCTGTCACATGGTATGGTGTGTGCACTGATCAGGCTGGAGCGATCGGAGCAGCTGGAGAATGACCTGATGAATTGTGGATCTCCCCTTTGGAGAATTGGATCAGTCCCATCTGTTCAGTTGGATTGCAGCAGATTCTGATCAAATCAGAGTGGTTGGTCTATGTCCAGCCAGTGAAGCTCGGATTGCTTGTGGGGCCAGCACTGAAGTAGTGGCTGGGGCTGCTGGCAGGGCAGGCAAAGCACAATGCTCAGTGACAACTGCTGAGTTGTGCCTGGGTTTCTTTACAGGCTTGTGTTTGCCCAACTTTTTAGCCCTTTTGGGCTATTCCGCCACGAAGTGTTTCCTCTTTCCTTTGTGCTTTTTAGGAGATTTGGAGGAGGGTAGTTATTTCAAATCTGATGGAGTAGGCCTTGGTACACCTGCTCTCATGGAGGAAGGGCGTTTTTTGGTGGTCTCTTTAGAGGTGGAAGGGCGATTGTTTTTATTGCAAGCATCATCCCCCATAGTGACGAGAGCCCTTTCCCACATTTCCATTTTCAGGTGTCCAGGCCTATTTTTGCAGGTTTGTTTTGTAAACACCTAATAATGTGGGCATTTCTCCACACAATGTTCCTTGCCCAAGCAGAAAAAACACCATGAGTGTACATTGGTAGAAGGCATTTTCACACTGCCTTTCACACATTTTTGAAAGGCCGGTTTGTGCACCATTGAGAGAGAGAAGATTAAGTGAAAAGAAGGAAGAATTTTGAGGTAAAGGGGGGACAATAGAAGGGTTTATTTTTATTTTTTTAAGTAGGTTGAAAAGAGACAGAGGTGAAATAAAGGAAAGATTTTAGTGAAAATACCAGCAGTTATGGTAGAAAAAGTCTGAGGTAAATTGTTGAGGAAGAACACTAGAGATCCTGAAGTACTGAAAACAGCAGTCAAAAGCAAAGTAAGAAAATGGAGGGAGCCCACTTATTTATATTAAGAGGGAAAGGGGGTTGGGCTCCCAGCAACATTTCTAGGCTTAGCTAGAAGAATCTTTCTGAACTGAGGCACTGTATAGGTGCAACACCTATATATATTGTGCACAGAGACAATGAAGAAAAACTACATTGCTGTTTTGGAGCCTGAGGACAAGGCGGGAAGGATCAGGTTCCCAACAGTGAATTCAAATTTCCAGCCTGATCAACTGCGTCCCAGGGCAACAAAGGAACTGACAAAAAACAAAAAAACCTCCACTGGAGAAGGAAATGGCAAAAAAGGAAACTGACAAAAAAACTTCCACTGGAGAAGGAAATGACAACCCACTCCAGAATCTTTGCCATGAAAACCCCATGGACAGTACCAAAAGGCAAAAAGATATGACACCGGAAGATGAGCCCCTCAGGTCGGAAGGTGTCCAATATGCTACTGGGGAAGAGCAGAGGGCTAGTACTAGTAGCGCCAGAAAGAATGAAGCGACTGGGTCAAAGCTGAAAGGACACTCAGTTGCAGATGTATCTGGTGGTGAAAGGAGAGAGCGATGCTGTAAAGATCTATACTCCATAGGAACCTGGAATGTAAGATCCATGAATCAAGGCAAGCTGGATGTGATCAAACAAGAGATGACAAGACTGAACATCGACAACTTAGGAATCAGTGAACTAAAATGGACAGGAATGGGTGAATTTAATTCAGATGACCATCAGGTATACTACTGCGGGCAAGAATCCCTCAGAAGAAATGGAGTAGCCTTCATAGTCAATAAAAGAGTAGGAAAAGCAGTACTGAGATTCAATCTCCAAAATGACAGACTGATCTCAGTTCGAATCCAAGGCAAACCATTCAACATCACAGTAGTCCAAGTCTATGCCCCAACCACTGGTGCTGAAGAGGCTGAAGTTGACCAGTTCTATGAAGGCGTACAACACCTTCTAGAATTAACACCAAAAAATGAGGTCCTTATCATCATGGAGGATGATGAAGGAATGCTAAAGTAGGAAGCCAAAAGATAACCGGAATAACAGGCAAGTTTGGCCTTGGAGTACAAAATGAAGCAGGGCACAGGCTGGTAGAATTTTGTCAAGAGAATACGATGGTCATAGCAAACACTCTTTTCCAACAACCAAAGAGGCGACTCTACACATGGACATCACCAGACGGTCAACACAGGAATCAGATTGACTATGTGCTCTGCAGCCAAAGATGGAGAAGCTCTATACAGTCAGTAAAAACTAGACCAGGAGCTGACTGTGGCTCAGATCATGAGCTTCTGGTTGCAAAACTTATGCTTAAGTTGAAGAAAGTAGGGAAAAGCACTAGGCCACTCAGGTATGACCTAAATCATATCCCTGATGAATATACAGTAGAGGTGACAAACAGATTTAAGGAATTAGATCTGATAGACAGAGTGCCTGAAGAACTATGGACGGAGGTTCGCAACATTGTACAAGAGGCAGCAACTAAAACCATCCCAAAGAAAAAGAAATGCAAGAAAGCAAAATGGCTGTCTGAGGAAGCTTTACAAATAGCTGAGGAAAGAAGGCAAGGGAAAGGCAAGGGAGAAAGAGAAAGATACAAACAATTGAATGCAGAATTCCAGAGAATAGCTAGAAGAGATAAGACTGCTTTCTTAAATGAACAGTGCAAAGAAATTGAAGAAAACAATAGAATAGGGAGGACCAGAGATCTCTTCAAGAAAATTGGAGATATGAAGGGAACATTTTATGCAAAGATGGGCATGATAAAGGACCAAAATGGCAGGGACCTAACAGAGGCAGAAGAGATTAAGAAGAGGTGGCAAGATTACACAGAAGAACTATACAAGAAGGAGCTTAATGTCCCTGATAACCACGATGGGGTGGTCACTGACCTCGAGCCAGACATCCTGGAATGTGAAGTCAAATGGGCCTTAGGAAGTCTGAGCAACAACAAAGCTAGTGGAGAAGACAGTATTCCAGCTGAGCTATTCAAAATCCTAAAAGACGATGCAGTTAAAGTGCTACACTCAATATACCAGCAAATTTGGAAAACTCAACAGTGGCCACAGAATTGGAAAAGGTCAGTTTACATTCTGATCCCAAAGAAGGGCAATGCCAAAGAATGTTCAAATTACCACACTAGTGCACTCATTTCACATGCTAGCAAAGTTATGCTCAAAATCCTATGAGCTAGGCTCCAGCAGTATGTGGACTGAGAACTACCAGAAGTACAGGCAGGATTTCGAAGAGGGAGAGGAACTAGAGATCAAATTACCAACATACGCTGGATCATGGAGAAAGCTAGGGAGTTCCAGAAAAACAGCTACTTCTGCTTCATTGACTATGCTAAAGCCTTTGATTGTGTGGATCACAACAAATGGTGGCAAGTTCTTAAAGGGATGGGAGTACCAGACCATCTTATTTGTCTCTTGGGAAACCTATATGTGGGTCAAGAAGCAACAGTGAGAACTGGACACGGAACCACTGATTGGTTCAAAATTGAGAAAGGAGTTCAGCAAGGCTCAATACTGTCGCCCTGCCTATTTAACTTATATGCAGAGCTCATCATGAGAAAGGCGGAACTAGATGAATCACCAGTTGGAATTAAGATTGCTGGGAGAAATATCAACAACCTCAGATATTCAGATGATACCACTCTCATGGCAGAAAGTGAAGAGTAACTAGAGAGCCTCTTGATGCAGGTGAAGGAGGAGAGCACAAAAGTTGGCTTGAAACTCAACATTAAGAAAACTAAGATCATGGCGTCCAGTCCTCTCACTTTCTGGCAAATAGATGGGGAAGAAATGGAGGCAGTGACAGATTTTATTTTCCTGGGCTCCAAGATCACCGCAGATGGGGACTGCAGCCAAGAAGTTAAAAGACGCTTGCTCCTGGGGAGGAAAGCTATGGCAAATCTAGATAGCATACTAAAAAGCAGAGACATCACCCTGCCAACAAAAGTGCTTATAGTCAAGGCTATGGTTTTCCCAGTTGCAATGTATGGCTGTGAAAGCTGGACCATAAGGAAGGCTGAGTGCCGAAGAATGGAGGCTTTTGAATTGTGTTGCTGGAGAAGACTCCTGTGAGTCCCTTGGACCGCAAGGTGATCAAACCAGTCAGTCCTAGAGGAGATCAACCCTGACTGCTCTTTAGAAGGCCAGATACTGAAGATGAAACTCAAATACTTTGGCCACCTAATGAGAAGGAAGGACTCCCTGGACAAGAGTCTAATGCTGGGAACAATAGATGGCAAAAGAAGAAGGGGATGGCAGAGAATGAGGTGGCTAGATGGAGTCACTGAGGCAGTTTGTGTGAGCTTAGGTGGACTCTGAGAGATGATGGAGGACAGGAAGGCCTGGAGGAGTGTTGTCCATGGGGTCGCGATGGGTCGGACACGACTTCACGACTAACAACAACAACAACAAGCAAAAGAAAGTTTACTTTGATTATGATGGCAGAATGGACAAATGGCTGAGATGTGTGACACAAGCTCCTTCCCAGCCTCCAACATTGAAGATGAAAGGAAACCTGTGTTGCTTCTTGTAAAGGCAGAGCTGCCTTACACAATGGTTTCCTTAATCACCTAGCTAAGTAAGAGCCAGTCAAAAACTCTTCCAATCACTACAGATACATAGAAATTACTATAAACATAGGTGCCCCCTAAGGAGCAATGTGAGGAAGGGACTTAGCTTGGTTCCTTTACTCTGTTTTCACAATTCCAGCCCAAACCCCATTACTGGTTGTACTGAATCAATGCTCACTCTAACAACCAAGGAAGGTTACTAGCACTCACAAATAATGGTCAGTCTGTCCATCTCTTTTATTAGCCAAATTCTGTGGGGGTGGGGGGAATCTGTGTTGTCACATGGTTTCTTTAAGGAGACCCACTGCAGTTCTTATTTTAGTCGCTTCTGGAAAAGAAGTTGCTTTTGGTCACGTCAGAATTGTGTTGTTCAAACCCTGTCCCTTCAGTTTCAACAGGCTTTTGCATTGCACATAATTTAAATAATATTTAGAAAATAAAATATGTTGCATACTTCATGCTTTCCCTTGAAAGGTCAGGGTCTTCCAGCTACCCAAGCAGAAGTGGAGGTGATTGAAAGAGCCCGAGAAAAACGTGCCTGGGAGGCAACGCTTCCCCCACTAAATGATGCTGCACACATTGCAAAGAGGAGGAGGATGATGGAAGAAATGGAGAGGAAAGAGTGGGCCTTCCGAGAAGAGGAAATTGAAGAGTAGGTTCTTAATTTTTACTGGGTTAACTTTTCCAGTTCAAATATACATATTAAGGAATATATGTATCTTTAAAAAGCATTCATATGACTTTGACCATTATAAGCCATGTGCACAAACATAGCAAGAGCAGCAAAACATTAGCTCTGTTGAGCAGTAAGTGAAAGTGTTTTTCCTTCCAAGCTGTAAGTAGAAATCTCTGTAGAACTGTAAAGGCTCTTGGTATCCACTTTCACTCCCATCTGTTAACCCCCACACTGTGGGGATTTGAGGAGCGCTCTTCTTTATGAACACTCTTCTCTGTGTATTCACTCTCCTTTTCTTGAAGATTGCAAGAAGTTAGACTAGAACTTTTGAAGACCCTGATGAGAAATCGGGAAGAGAACCACAATGAACTGAATGTCAGTCGCTTAGATACTCACTGGTTTAACCTCATGCGAGAAAAAGAAGAGAAGGTGAAAAAGATTAAACATGAACATATAAAAGGTAACATGAAGGATAAAACCTAGGTTAGCATCTATGTTTCAAATGTTCTGTTCAAGGCAAAGGCACATTAAAGCCACATCAAGCAAATTCATGGAAGGTGAAGTTCAGGTTTTGTCTAAGAGACGTAAGGATTTAAACTGTAATTCTATGAACAAGTCCCATAGAACTCAGTGACACTTACTTCTGAGTAGACTTACACAGGATTGGGCTTTAAGATTTTTTTTTCATTTTGTTTGAAATGATATTTCAGCAATCAGAAGACTAATAGCTAAGGGTAAAAATGTGGAAGGAAAACTGGAGAGAAGAAATGTCATCAAAGATTATACTGAGTATGAATCACAGGCTTATGCTCCTCTATCAAGAATTGGTTACTTTCCAGACAATCATGCAGATCGTTACATAGTGAAGAACCCCTTTCTGAACACCTATAAAGGTAAGCCATACTAAGGAAACCTTCCAGCATATTTGCCTATTTCAAAGCATCCTTGTCTGCTTCAGGGAATGTGCAGAGATCCTGCTTCTGTGGAAGGTCAGCTTCATCTACTTCATGTCACAAAAATGTCCTCTATGCTGAACCCAGAGGAGGTGTTGTTACAATTGAGGGGCCACCATTAAAATCTTTGTCCCTGGCAAAACCAAATTGGATCATGGTAATTATTTCTCTTACATCACAATCTGGATCTCTCTTTTCTCTCTACCACCAATACTTTCATTCTACCTGATTTAGGATTACTTGAACTGGAGGCATCTCTTCCTGACTCTGCTACCCAGCTCCGGACGAAAGCTCCAAAACCCAGGAGCACCACCACTAAGGATGGGTTTACTAAACGGTCTGCTAGACTAGAGATGGAACTGGCACAGGTTTATGAGGTATTAAGCTTCATCTGAGGTCATATCAGTGCCTTCTGTTTTTCATTTTGCTTCCTGAATAACATCTATGCATCATACTAGACAAGAAAACTTGTGGACAAAGAAAAAGCATGCCATCATTGCAGATGTTACAAGTTGGTATTTGATTGCTGTTAATCAATGGCACAGTCTTTTTGCCTTCATGGCATTATTTTTTTCCCCTTTTCATATGGTAGTTAAGAAAGGGATGTGCAGAACTGTTTCCAGATTAGACCTCTAATCCCTCCTTCACATTGCTTCATTCACAGAATAATAGATGCATATTAGGTCTACATGACATCTTATTCTTGTAGCCCCCAGTTGTTTTACTACCACATTTCCCATCTTTTTGCATAAAAACAGGAAAAGACTGAATAGTTGCTCAGTGCCATCTAGCCAATAATGTTGGAAGCCCGCCAGCATTTATAAAATAGTCTTGTTTTCCTCAGCCTGTCCACCTCACAGTTCCTTTGCAGTCAATTGTAACAATATGGGGAATGTATAATTCCAATATATAGTAATGATCACAATTAAAAAAAAATCTATATGTGCAGGCAAATCTGTTACTGACAATGCACACAGTAAATAAGAAAGGGGAATAATGATGAAATTCTGTTTAGGCCAATTACCTAGGGCCAGTTCCTCATATATTATTTCCTCTCCAGAAACTGCAAGAAAAGAAGAATCAAATCAAAAAGTCTCCCACACCACTTCGTTTCCTTCAGAAGGTATCAAAGTACTTTGGTCGTCCTCCCACCCCAGCACTGGAAGTACCTTCCCTAGTAAGTGCAGTGTTTCTTTCAATTTTTCAAGTCTTGCTCATTCCAGCTGGATAACATGCTGCAGCAGGGGTCCAGTTTGGATATGGGTAGAGGAGCATCAAAAGAACAAATATACCTAAGTCACAGAAAAGCTGGAGATTTGGTACCAGAACTGGCAGACAAAGACTAAATGGCCAGCAGCAAATGTGGTCATGCTGCAAGGCAACAGCAGAGGTTGGAGGTGCCAGAAACAAGGCCCAAGGCATGCAGGAGTCACAATCTGAGTAGGCAGCAGCAATAGCTTGGGAAAAGAAGGATGAGAATGCATTCAGTTCTCATGTTCAAGACAGCATTCAGAGTCATGAGCTGGACTGGCTCCAAGAGCCGTGTGCTTCCTAATTGCAAAGTCAGTAGCCATGAGGGGAAGTCAACTTACTTTCCTTAGATTGAAGCTGCTGTCTAAAGGGCATATTTTTGGAAAGACAGGCTAGTGTGCCTGGTTGTTGTGGCGTGCATCCTGCCATCTTCAGGTACACTCATGGGAGATGCCCCATGCTGAATAACTCTGCAAGTGCTCTCAAAACCAGGAGCAGCTTTGTGGGAAGTTGCAAGGAGCACCTGTGGAGCAATGATGCAGTGCAGCTGGAGACCCTGAAGATCAGCATAAAAGGCTTCATGGCACTGCTGCTCCTTGCCACAGCAACGCAAGTGTCCTGGTGACTCTTGTGCTCTGACCCCCACTTTGCTATGCCTTGTTCCTGTTCATTCCTGCCTTGTCCATTTCTGCTCCCACCTCGCTCCAGCCAGTGCCCTTCCTGCTGTTCCTGCTGTTCCTCTGAGTAGACCATGCCTCTCTCCAGCCTGCTACAACCCTCTCATCAACATCTCTCCGGTAAACTGATATTGGAACTGTGCTCTGACTTTCTCTCTTTCTGTACATGCCAAACTCGGACTGCTTCCTTTGACCCAGACCCACTGACTTGCCTCAAGCCTCTGGCCTGTAGTGAGCTCCTGACTCAGCTGGAGCTTGCGCCTGTCATGCGTGCGTGCTTAGAAGAGTCTCTTACGCGTGCACAAGGGGAGGAACCTTCTCATGAGAACCAGAGCATCAATGAAGAGCTATTTCTGGTTTCAACAGAACAAACTTTACTCCCCACTCTCACAGACAGTGAGAGTAAGAATGGGCCAGCTAATGAGGTGCTGAAAGAAGATGAAACAGGCACAGGAACAGGGCGATTTGAGAGTAAATGTGAGAACAGACTTTCAATCTTCTGATATAGAGTGTGAGAACCAAACTGATAAGGGACAAGCGGGATTTGAGGATGCTCGTTCTTGCAGGCACAGGCACAGACTGGGACAGCTGGAATCCCAATTGACTGAACGATGGCAAGAGAGAGTTCACAGCGCCCCATCTCTGGGGGTGCGGCCATGGAGGGTTCATAAGCAAGGTGTGGGCTGAACTTTGCTTCGATTTTACATGTATAGCTGTTTAGAATAAAGACGTTTGTAGTATCTGCTGGAGTGATTGCTTTCATTGGGAAGGAGCGCCAGCCACATGACAGTGCCCTGGGCTCGGTGTTCTACCCCTCCTTGCTGCTGCCCATGGCCCAGCCCTCACATCAGATTCCAATGTCAAGGGGGAGACTGGTTTGAAACAGCTCAGACTCCAGCTGTAGCTCAAGGTCCTGAGACCCAGCAGGAGATGGCAGTGAGGGAGATTAGCCCAAGGGCATGTGGGGAGACTAGTCAACATGGCCATGGGAACCTTGAGGAATTACAGACTGAGGGAGGAAACACTGAAATGGGATGTCTCTCCAATGGAGAACTCCTGCCCTCTGAAGAGGTAGACCTGGTGGCACACTGTCCTCACTGGAGGAGAACCCAATTAGGGACATATTGGAAGGAACAGAGGCATGCCTGTTTCCACAGCATGCCCCCCTCCAGGGTTGAGACACAGAAGAGCTTCTGTGAAAGCTTCAGGAAATGAATGGTAGAAAGGGTTCAAAGGGATACTTTGTGTATGCTCAGAGACTCTTATGTCACAATAAGGAATATTAAGCAAAGAAATGCTGCTGAGGCTGATACTGCTTGGAGGGATGAACACAGACTGTGACACTGGCCTCCTGAGGACCAAAGGTGCTGATAGTGCAGGAAGTAAGGTGCTGGAGTCTGGCTGCTGAAAACACCCTCAGGGCTTTATACTGTTGTTGCCCTGTTTTCTGCTACTTGTTAAGTTATAGGAATTGTGGTTAGAAAAACAGAAGGGTGCTACCAGTATTTGGTCTAGAGTAATTTGCCTTTTATAATCCAATGTTTAAACAGTGGCTACCAGCTGGATTCTTTTACACCACTGGTGAGTCTTAATTGAAAGGGAACTTTGCTGTGCCACCGTTTGCACAATTAGAAACTTGTGTATCAGTTTCACTGGAAGTTTAAAATATATACTTTAAAGTAGGTGAGAGAGAGGAGTAGACATAGGGAACATTAAGGCCTGCTCCAGTTGGATTCCATGCCTGTCTGCCTGTTCCAGGGCCAATCAACATCACCCATTCTGTGGGGCAGGAAGAAGGTGACAGGAGCAGGCAGAGGGAACATCAGGGTCAGCTCCTGTTGGACTGCCCCTTACCCTCACAGGGATAATTAACATCAGTAGCCCTGTGGGAAAGAAGATGGAGTGAGGGAAACTGGAGAAGGCAAAGGGAAATTCAGTTGGACTGCCTTACCCTGGAAGGGTAATTAGAAACATCGAAACAGATTGACTCAGAAGGGGCCTCCTGGGCCATCTAGTCAGAACCCCACCCCAGCTCCAGCCAGCTCCACTCATGACATGCCTAACATGTGCATGCCCAGTCTATCCTTAAACGCCCTCACTGATGGGGCTTCAACCACTTCCCATGGAAGCCCATTCTATACCCCAGGGGTCCTAACTGTCAGGAAGTACTTCCTGGCATCCACCTTGAATCTTGGTTCCGTGAGCATTGCTCCATTGGAATGCGTCCTGCCTCTCCCCTCCACTTCAGGGGAAAAAAGGTCATGACCCACCTCTGCGTGAAACCCCCTCACGTAACTGTATGTCACTAACAGGTCCCCTCTGAGCCTTCTCCTCCCAAGGCTGAAAAACCCAGCTCCCTCAGTCTCTCCTCATATGGCTTTCCCTGAAAACCAGCCACCATCCTAGTGACCCTTTGCTGCACTGATTCCAACCTTGCTATATCCCTTCCATAATGAGGGGCCCAGAACTGAACACAACACTCCAGCTATGGGCACACCAGAGTCGTATAGAGTGGCAGTCATATCTCTCTATCTAGAAGCCACGGTTCTGGCTATGTATCCAAGGGTGGTGTTTGCCCTCTTAGCCACTGTGTCCATTTCTATCTATCTATCTATCTATCTATCTATCTATCTATCTATCTATCTATCTATCTATCTATAATTCTATCAATCCTGCTGAAACTCTGTTTATTTTTTGCCTCTTCCTTCCCCATCTCTTTCCCCTTATGTGGCATGCATTTTTTATATCCCTTGGACAGGAATTGTCTTGTTTACTTGTTGATTCAAGACCATTTGGGAGCTTTTTTTGGCTCAAAAGTGGAATCAAAATACTGCACATAAATAAAATAAAAATGGATTGCAATTAGTTTGTTGTTTTTCCAGTTATTGAATATTTGATGGTAAGGCAGTAGCATTTTTTCAGATAAAATTTAAACTTTTTACTTGATCATCTATGCTATTTTTATTTCATTAAAAATGTTAGCTTTTTGAACTTGTCTAGAAGGTTTACAAGATGTGTCCAGAAAGTAATGAGAATGAAGTTCCTATGCTTGAGAAGGGCTCTGTGAAGGGAAAGCTGGCCAAGGTCACTTGGGGTGGGGTGCCAGGTATACGTTAGAACACCGATCAATTTCATTCCAGCCCTGTCAGAGTCGAGACATTCTTTGTTGTGACACCCTGTTCAAGTGTCTCATATTAAGGCAAATGCATGCGAGTTTGGAGCAGTGGTATGCGATAAAATTTTGTGTGGAATTGGGTAAAAGTGCATCAGAAACTTTGGAAATGGTGAGGAAAGCTTATGGAGAAGCTGCACTATCATCTGCACAAGTGTATCGATGGCACAAGGCTTTCAAGGAAGGATGAGAAGGTGTTGAAGAACAACAATCAGGGTGCCCCTCTTTGTCAAAAACGGAACATAATATGGATGCAGTGAGGTCTGTTCTCAGCTGTGATTGATGGCTCACTAGCAGAATGATCGCAGAGGAAACGGGAATTACCAAGTCAATTGTTCATGAAATCGTGACTCAGGATTTCAACATGAGAAAAGTGTGTGCAAAACGTGTTCCAAAGAACTTGCCACCTGATCAGAAGGAACACCATCAACTTGTTTGCCAAGACCTGTTGGCCTGTTTGGAAAGATAGCCTGTTTTTTTTGAGTTGAGTGATCATGAGAGATGAATCCTGCGTGCTTGAGTATGATCCCAAGATGAAGATACAAAGTTCAGAATGGCACACACCCTTGTCACCTCACCCCAAGAAAGCTTGAATAAGCAACTCAAAAGTCAAATCAATTGTCATTTTTTAAATTTGTGTGGAATTGTCCATAAGGAATTTGTCCCTACTGGTCAAACTGTGACTCAAAGGTTTTACCTGGAAGTCCTTGGTTGCTTAAAACAGAATTCTTTTGTGTGCGTCCTGAGATTGGCTCAACTTGGATCTTTCATCATGGCAATGCACCAAGTCACAGTGCTTTGGCTGTCAGAGTTTTTGGCTAAAAAACGCATCACGGTGCTTCTCTATCCACCCTATAGCCCCAACTTGGCTTCTTGTGACTTTTTTACACTCCCAAAGATGAAGAATGGTTTGAAAGGACATCATTTTGGTGGAAAACGTCCAAAGAGCCACTATGCAGGCTCTGAATGCCATCCCACTTGAAGACTTCCAGGGATGCTTTGAAGAATTGAAAAATTGCTGGGAGCATTATGTACACTCACAAGGTACATACTTTGAAGGAGACAATGTTCAATTGTAAATTTTTTCAATAAAATAATGTTTAAAATACCATTCTCATCACTTTCTGGACATACCTGGTATTCCTTCAATTGTGTCCAATTTATTTACTCATAGCTTTCTCTTGTAATTTAATTTAATTTAATTTAATTTTCTTGAGTGTCTTCCTGCAAGATTCAGTTAATGATGATTGATTCTTTGTTGTCTTTTTACAGAGAGATGAAGAAAGAGAACTAGCTGCAATTACACTACAGAAATTAATCCGAGGCAGAGCTATCCAGAACATGGTATCTTCTGTCTTTTTGACTATACAGCAGCATCCAGTAATCTGATGGGAGGTTTTATCTGTGCCTACATGTGTCTCTCCCCAGAACACATGGATTAGACATAGCTTATCTTAGCAGTGAAAGATCTAATTCTGTGCCTGAATGCTACATACCCTTTAAGCCAGGGGTCCTCAAACTTTTCCACCAGAGGCCCAGTTGAAAGCTGCCGGTGGTGCATGCGGGCCGGCATGGGGTTGGCACGCACGTGGGGGCAGGGCATGTGGTGAGGCAAGGCGAGGTGCGGGCAGGTGGATGCGGGCGTGTGGCAAGGAGAAGCAAGGCACAGGAAGGGGCAGGCACGCACCACAAGGCGAGCGCATGAGGCAGTGGCTTACTCACTTGGAGATCGTTTTCTCTGAACGAGCAAACCTCTGTCTCCCGGCACCTGGGGCGAGGTGGGCGGCGGGTGGGTGCGGGTGCGTACATGCATGGTGGGTCCAAATGGGCAGGGGGACCAGATAAATGGCCATGGTGGGCCAGATCTGGCCCCCGGGCTGTAGTTTGAGGACCCATGCTTTAAGCTCTTTGATTGCTTAGGTTCAATTCAGATATCACACTGAACCATTGTTTGTCCTAATTAGAGTTCATGATCCATGCATAACTCGTAAACCATGTTTTAGAATAGCCTATCTGCTTTATTTTTAGTTGTGTTCAGTGCTTCAGCCTCTAGGCAAGGTGATGTTTTGATGATGATGATGATGATGATGATGGCTATTATTGCTTCCTGTCACAAAATGCAGTTTCAGTGTGATCTATACACATAATATAGAAATCTACTGTTATATTTATATTTATTTATTTATTTATTAAAACATTTCTATGCCGCCCCTTGCCGAAGCCTCGGGGTGGCTTGCAACACAATAAAATACAATAAAATACAAAAATAACAATATAAAATAAATAACAATATAAAAGAAGTCGCCCTGGCCAGATAAATAAGCAAATATTGTTAACAATTAAAATGACGTTTAAATAAAAAGGTCTTCACCTGGCGCCGAAAAACAAATAACGACGGCGCCAGGCGGGCCTCTCTGGGGAGCGCATTCCATAGGTGGGGCGCCACCACAGAGAAGGCCCTCCTCCGAGTACCTACCCTCCTAATTTCTTTCATGGAGGGTTCCCGGAGAAGGGCCTCTCCCGCAGATCTCAAGGGGCGGCCGGGCATATATGGATGTAAGCGCTCCTTCAGGTAACCAGGATCCAAGCCGTTTATATCCTGCCTTTTTTTCCTCTCAGCAGGAATCTCTTATATGATTCCCCCATCTCTGTTTATCCTTCAACAATCCTGAGAAATAGGTTGGGTTGAAGGTCAGTGATTGGCTCAATGTCACCCAGTGAGTTCAATGGCAAAGTTGAAGTTGAAATCCAAAATTGGGATCATTTTGAGATCATTCATCTCAGTCATGATTAATAGGAGGATGGAAACCCAAAATCCTTATAAACCATTATTAGCATGATAATATAAATAGAAATAAATGCCATAAAATGTTATCTAAAATTAGTACAATTTGAAAAATGTTCATTTACAACAACACAAAATCACTTCCTGCTCACAGCCTAGAATAAACAACACAAAAGCAGCCTAAGACAATTGGGTCATAGTGTCCAAATGCTTGAGAAACCAAGGTCACCTTTTCCTGGTGCTGAAAAAAATGGTGCTACACAAGTGTCCCTGGGGTGACCTTTCTATAAACACACTTATCACAGAAAAGGGTTTTTCCAGAAACAATCCAACATGCACATTGCAGTAATCTAAACTGCAGGTTACCAGAGCATTGACTACTGCCTGTAGGCTATCTCTTTCCAGAAGGGTCACACACGGGATACTGGCAGAAGTCACTGTATGCCTCAGAGGCTATTTGAGTCTCCAGTGACATTGATGGATCCTGGAATTCCCTACCTGTGCACCTACTTCAGGGAGAGAATGATCTCACCTATAGCTGGTTGTATCTCCAGAGGAACCACCCATCAGTCTTATATGGGTAGATAATCAGTTTACTGGTCCTCATCTAGTCCATTATTGAGGCCAAACACTGCTTCAGCGAGTTCACTGCCACACATGCCTGAGATGAAAAGAAGTAGAGCTGCATGTCTTTGGAATGGTGGTAATGTACCTCAAGAATTTGGATGAACCCTCACTGTAGTTTCCTGCAGATGTTAACCAGCAGGTAGGATAGAATTAACCCTTGCACACTGGAGGTTTTATAGAACCAAGGGATACTCCCCAAGCACCACCCTCTGGAAACAGCAGTCTAGGTAGGAGTAGAACAACTGCAGGTTGTGCTCCCAACTCCCAGTTCAACCACCCTGGAACATCACTATGACATACGGTATTGAACACTCTCAAGAGATGAAGACATATCAACAGGAGCACACTCCACCTGCCTCTCTTCTGATACAATCATCCTATAGGGCAACTAAGGCAATCTCAGTACTAAAATGGGGCTTGAACCTCAACTGAAATTGATTCAGAAAATCAGTCTAATCCAAAAGTTTCTAGACTCAAGGGCCATGTCTCAAGGACCTTTCTCAGGACATGGATCTGTACACCTGACCTAAAATTGTTCAGGAGTGGTCTCACCACTGTCTCTTTCTGGTGACCCAGAACTACTACTTCTCATCAGGAAGCATTTATAACCTCCCTGGCCCATTCACCTGCCCTTTCATTCCTGGATTTCACTTACCAGGAAGAGCAAAGATTCAAAATGCATGTGGTCACACATACTTTTACAAGCATGTTGTCCGTGTGTTCAAGCTATACTAACTGAAACAAACTCAATACTTCTGGAGCAGCCAATGCTGTGGACACCTAATAAGACTGAACTGCAAGTGATATTATCCTCAAAATGCCTAGCAAATATATTACATTAGGCCACAGAGTTTCAACTACCTCCTCCAGACCAGTATGTAATAGGTGCTGAACTACCCAGAACAGTTCCACTGATAAGCATAGAAAGGATGCAGTGGAGGCAGGAAAACAATATTCTTCACTGCCATTAAGTAGGCTTAGTGTTGATCATGTACTAATGTTTGACTGTACTCCTTGGGAATCTTGATCAACTTACATTCTTCTTGAGAGCAAGCATGATGTAGTGGTTAGAGTGCTGGCCTGAGATTCAGATTTGAGTCAGCCATGAAGCTCACTGGGTGACTGGGCTAGTCACTCACTCTCAGCCTAACTGACCTCACAGGGTTGTTCTGAGAATAAAAAGGGGTGGAGGGGGACTATGTAAGTCACCTTGGGTTCCTCGTAAGAGAGAAAAAAGGGATAAAATCCTATGCATATAAAAATAAAATAAATGGACAGATTCTAAGAGAAGTGTTCCCCCTTCAGAATCATGAACTGCAAAAACCCATCAACCAAATGCTCATGGGTGGCTCTTGTCTTTGCATCCATGCCAAGCAGCCCCCCACCCTTTGACATCACTCTCTTCAGTTTTACTGCTTCTGGGATGCTGCCACACTGCACAAGGTCCTGGCAGATAAGCATGGTCCCAGGAGACAGACATGCCTGGCAATGAGCCTGGGGAATTTTTTCTTTTTTTATTGGCTCGCCTACTGATGGTGGTCTCCATCACAGCCAAAGGTGACAAGCAGCTAAAGACACAGACCAGGGCACAGCCGGAGAGTTTATGTTTTGGCAAGGTGTTCCACTTGTTAACGATACACATCAAAAGCCTAAAGTGACATTTGAAAATTGCCTGTAGCTTGGCAGAAGCTCTTCTGCCACTGACATCACATACCACCATATCACCCCCACCTCTTCTCTTTACCACCATGTCAGTCCCTCCATTGCCAAATCCCAATCCAGTTACTTACTGCCACTGTGTCTTCCTACTCTGTTACTGCATAGCAGTTCATCCTAGTTCTTCCACCATAGCATGCAAGCAAGTGGGAGAATGAACTGGCTCTGGTTGCAGTGTAAGAGAAGGTGTTAGCATTATTCCAGAGGTGGATAAATTTGGTTTCTGTGCCAAAGGAAACAAATTACTATCAATTGCTTTCAGTTCTGCTTATCATCCCTTTGGATCCAATTAATAAGAAAGGTTGTTCAGTACCAAGAGGATCATCAAGACCTAAGTCTTCATTCTCCATATTGCTAGCTCCACCACCAAGTCTACAACAGCCTTCAATACCTACAACAACACCAAGCCTACGCCTATGGATCTTCAGGGAACATGCCAGCTCCTCTGCTGTGCCATGACACTGATCATGATCTCCTGCATCTATACACTCCAGACCATGACTGCCACCTCCATTGGACATTGAAGGCTACGCATCCACCTCTACCTCCTACTCATTGGTGGTCCCATGTACTTCCTCTCTGAGCACAGTTGTGGGAGCCCAGGACTCCACCTCTTCACTGGTAGTCATAGGCCTTTTCTCTGAGCAGAAGCAGAGGATGACCAAGTCTTTCAGGCTGGCTACCAAACTACAGATGGTAGAGGGTGTTTGATCCAGACTTCGACACTGTCTATTCAGAGGAATCAACACTGGTGGCCATACTATTTCTACCAACACTTCTCCAAACTGTGCAGCAGTCATGGAAGGTCCATCATTGTTGGTACCAATGGCTGGTTGGTCAAAATGGCTGAAGAACATGTGTAGAGTGCAGAAGATGTGGCCTTCTTCTTCCAGCATCTGAAGGTGAAATCCATCACTGTGGAGTTGGCCCAGGGAAAGTCATTCCCTGCCAGAGGACAAAGAAAGACACCACCTGGATATAATGGGGAGACACGTCTATTCATCTTTGGCTCTGGGAATCTGAGTGCCAAACTACCAGGCCACAATTCTAAGATACCAACTTTGGGAGAAAATTGGTCCCCTTTGTGAACACTGGCTGGAAGACCAAAGAGGGCTTGCCTGCGTCTTCCAGTGTGAAGTGATGCATCTCTCCTCCCTTCTAATCAGTGCTTGTTTTAACATACAAAGCCCTAAATAACTTGAGACCTGGTTATCTGAAGGGTCACCTTTTCCCATATACTTCTACCCACCCATTGAGATGTGGAAATGAGGTCCTTCTGAAAGAGCCATCCCTAAAGGAAGTAAAAGGGATGCCAATTAGAAGAAAGGCCTGCTCAGTGGCTGTTCCCCACCTTTGGAACGGAATTCCTAAAATGGACTGCCTGGTGCCATCACTATTTTCATTTTGGCACCAGGCAAAAACTGTCCTCTTTTGAAGGTTTTTCAAAACCTGACTTTAACAGCTGATGATAAAGGCTCAACCTGCTACCTACAGGTTCCCTTTCTCCTTCCCCCTGTACTTATAATTGTACAGTTGGCCTGTTTACAATGTTGTTAGCCACTTAGAGAGCCCCTAAATCAGGGGTCTCAAACTCGCAGCCCGCGGGCCAATTGCCGGGAGGGGCGGGGCACGGGGGAGGGGCCCTGTGGCCTTCAAAGCGCCGGCGGGGCCCGGGCCGGCCTCCGGGAGCCACACGGGATGAGCGGCCCACCACCACCGCGGTGGTGGAATACTTGATGCGGCCCAGCCTCACCCAGACTCTACTTCCAGCGGCCCCCAGGTAAGCGGTATCCCTGCTCTAAAGGGATATACAGCAGCCTATAAATGTGAAAATAAAGAAATCCTTCATCCAGCTCCCACTGAAACCAGACCTAATCTCTTGGAATCAGGATAGAGTTCTATGCCCAGACATAAGCACCCTTTGCCAAACAACATGGAAGATCCTTCACTAGAGCACAGAAATTCCACCTGTCTAGAAGGACTACAGGAATTACTGGATATGGCTTTGAAACCATTCACCAATGTAAGGGAGTCTTACATTGAAAATAGAAACCTTTCTTTGTTTTTGCATCAGGAGAAGGCTTCAATGCACATTGGTACATGGTTGAGCAAGTCCTTCTGTTCTTGAACACTCTTTCAGTGGGGCCTTAAAACAGCATCTGTCTATGTCTACCTGGAAGCAATCTCATGCTTCCATGAATTGATCCAGGTTTCATTGGGTTTTTTTCTGCCCCTTGAGTGAGAGCAATTCCTGTGAAACATCCTCTCCAGCAACTCAACCTTTAACACCAAACTTGAGTCTCTTCATTGTCCTTTAGGCCCTTTTGAGAAAACTGTTTAAACCCATGGCAACAGTCAACCTCTGTGCACTTATTTTGGAAATTTGCTTTCCTGGTGGCAATCACATCAGCCCGACGCTCCAGTGAATTAAATGTTCTATGGATGGATCTCCCATAATTTGACTTTCACAGAGACAAAGTGGTCCCTCCCTCCCTCCCAGAGTTGTAACTCCTTTTCATCTGAACGAGGACTTTGTTTTACCAGCCTGTTTTTCTTGCCCATCCAACCCAGTGTAGTTTATGTATGCTGGATATTCATAGAACATTGACATTCTTTTGGTCCATTACTTAATCCTTCCATCACCCTCACAAGCTTTTTATCCATTATGATGTCAACAACAAAGGACACCATCTATCCTGGCTAGCAGCCTGGGAGGTGAGGATAATTTCCCTGGCTTATGACATAGCCACTCTTTAAGTCTCAATACCACTGAAAGCACACTCTACATGAGTGATGGCAAGTCAACTGTGCTGCATGCTGGAATTCCCCTGCTGAATTTCTGTAAAGCAGCCACATGTGAATGCACAGAGACCACAAAGAAAAAAGGCAGGTTGTTTACTTGTAACTGACATTCTTTTAGTGGTCATCTCCATATTTACACAGCTCAACCACAGTCCCCTCTTTGGTGTCATATTCTAAACTTTCCTTCGTATATTGAGATTGGCGCAGTCAAAGTGCTTCTCCCTTGGTCCTGAGATAACAAAGGCAGTCTCAAGTGAACTGAGGGAACAGGTGGGAACTCCTCCTATACATACCGAAAGCTGGGGTGGGGAGGAGTTCTTGCCAAAACATTCACAGCTATGAAACCTTCCTGACAACATGCTCCATACAGGTGCAGAGCCCATATGTGTGAATGCAAAGATGACCACTCAAAGAGTGACAGTTACAGGTAAGCAACCTGCCTTGTTTTGTTTCCTGTTCCAAAAGTTACCTTGCTTCTCTCTTCCATTGTTCTTTCGTTAGGTGTACCAAGATTGAAGTAGATACTGTACTTTCTGTTTCTTGTGTTTTCCTTTCCAAATGCTATTTTTGAATTGCATTCCACAATCCCTAATAATAGCTTAGCCAAGTATAGGTCTCCCCATCATCACCTGTACCAGCCTTGCCTGAATGACTAAAGATTAGGTGATTATTCCATCTTGTGTTCAACAACTCATCAGCACCACAGGTAGCTTTTAACTGCTGTGAGATTCTAATATTTCTAGGTTAGTCAAATACATATATAGACATAGAAGTTCATATACACTCATTAAGCCACCTGGAGATCTTTGGCAGTTTTAAAATGAAATAAATAAATGGAGAAGAACAACAAGGGGATTCAGCAGCCCAAACTGTGGTGACTTTGCATTACCCTATGGTTAAAAATGCAGAAGTACTTTTGCAGAGAATAGAACTTGAACATCTCTTATCTTCACACAAGGATATACTTTTTTGTTTATTTCCCACAGGCAATATCAACTGGATAAGCTAACAGAGGGGCCAGGCTTCTCTTACTTGTAAGAAGACAGGGAGATCTAAACTCTTCTATGGCCCATGTTACTTTGTTGTTGTATATCCTCTATGGTTTATAGCCAGTTGTTCTTTATATATGGTTATCATAAAGTCTTAAAAGCTTTCAAATTATTTTTAGAAGAGGTAACACTAAAGTTTTGTGGAAGACTACATTCAGTGTGATTTTGATCATCATCCATTTACCTATGATTTTTAAAATTTTTAAAACAGATGTTTGAAGGGAAAGAAAAGCGACTAGAGCTGATCCGAGAGTTGCGTACCACTCATGCACTCCAGGAGGATGGGCAACTTTTGAAGAAAGCTGAGAAGCAAGTGACATTGGCATTGCAGCGGCAGCGAGATTTGCATGAACATAAGGTTTGACTGTAAACAGTGAGAAATTCCCTGCTGCCACATTTAAAAACTTTCCATTCTTGTTTTTTACAAAAGCATGTGTAACAGAAGCTGAAAGAGGGCTCTAGCCATCTGAGTAAACTTCCCCAGTATAGAATCATAGAATGGTGGAATAGTAGAGTTGGAAGGGGCCTGTAAGACCTTTGGATTGAACCCCCTGTTCAATGCAGGCATCCAAGTTAAAGCATCCATGACAGATGACTGTCTTCCTGCCTCTAATGTGGAGAGCCCAGGACTAATCGGTTCCATTGCTGTACTGCTCTAGCAGTCAAGAAGGTTTTCTTGATGTCCAGAGTGGGAACCAGTACCTCACGTGATTTGGAAGTGATACAGCTCAGTGAAGCCCGGACTAGTATTGGCTTTTTTGTAGCCGCATCTCTTTGTTTTCTGAAATTCGGCCAGTAATCTGCAACAATTCCCATTTCTCACTTGTGGTATTGTTGATCCATTGTGTTACTGTACATTTGGTTCCCTTTTCCTACATGCAGAACTTGACATTTGTCCCTCTTATTTTGTTGCTTTATATTAACACTGCTGGGGAAAGCTCTGGAAAACTCTGTGTTGTGTGTGTGTGGGGGGGGGGGCAAGCGAGCGAGCATGATGTGCAGTGTTAGGAGCATGCTTCAGGAGAATCTAGCTGTTCTCAGAATTCTAGGAGACATGGATGGTCTTTTAATCCCACATCAAGGTTGGACACTGAAGGTGAGTCCTATGTGTGGACAGATCCCTGCAAAAGACAGGTAATGATAAATGATGGAATGGTGATACATTGGTGAATGTATAGCATTGTTCATTTTTGTATGATGCCAAACATCTTGAGAAGTCTGGTCATAAAAAGGCACACAGAAATTATGGGTTCAGGTCAGGATTTTTAAAAAGTATAAACAGAATAACAAATGGCATATTTTTGCATTCCCATTAGTTGTCTCTCATGGAAAAACATTTGGCTCGGGTGGAAGGGAGAGCACTTGCAAACATGCTGGATTTCCTCTCGAAAGAGCTAATTAGGCTACAGGAAGAGCGAAAGATCCATGCTTTTGCTATGTTAGCTGAAAGACAACGTCGCATGCGGGAAGCAGAGGAGAGTGGATGCCGTCAGGTGGAAGAGAGGCGCAGGCGTGAAGAGGATGAGATCTTTAAACAGGCATGTGTTGGGCAGCAGCCTCAAAACTGCAAATGGACCTTGTCCAGATGCATTCACAGAAAAAAGGAGCTGGCTGTCCGAGCCTGGAATTTATGAAGAACAGGTTTCTGTGGGGAGGGAGGGAGGGATCCAAACTGCTGCAGGGCTGAGTATGTCTCACCCACAAAGGAACACTTTGTTTTTGGTTGGTTGGTTGGTTTGTTTGTTTTGTTTTTCCTTTGCATGCAGAATTTTCTTTTTCCCTTAGCACACATGTGCAGAGTATCCTTTCTGTATTTTTACATAAAGTCAAACCCTGTTAGCTAGAAATTACTGCTTACAACTGGTAACTGATCTTTGCTTCACACACAAATGCATGCACCTGTAGATAAAACTAAAACTACAGACAGCTGAGCTACAAAAATCAGAAATTAACCCTGGAACAATGATAGGTGGGATTGTGTAATTTTTCCCACTTTGGAGCCTTTTAGCACTGCTGAGGTATTGCTTTTCCACATTTAGCTGATAGCAGCATTGAAACTGAGAGTGTATACAACATGTAATATAATATTACGATGGACTAACAATGCCCTTCATCATGGCCAAGATATTTCTATATTGGACTGGTTTGCATGATCGAAAGATCATTTACAAGCATCTATGCCTTGATAACCCCTCTGTAACTGGCTTTGCACAACACGTTAACCCATGGCAGTTTGTACGACTAACAGCTAGTTGCATGGGATTGGGACCCACTGGAGAGCAAAATTGTAAGTGGTCATGGAAGCAACATTCCAGTCTCGCCCCTTTCTACCTACACAACAGAGCTACCTCACTGGACACCAGTCCTTTAGCCAGAGACCGTATCAATACACCAGCCTAGCAAGAAAAGGCTCAATACTGACGATTGCCAACATTGATGGGCAGTGTGACTCAGTCCTCCAATAACTCTTCCCTTCTCATTTGGGGATCGACTAAAACATCATATCTCCATATGGGAAACCATCACATCTGACCGGTGGATTCTATCCATTATAGAACATGGATATAAGATCGAATTTGAAACTCTGCCTCCTCTCAGAGCGGTCCATCATACATCACCCTCTCCAGTTCTACAAGAAGAAATCAAAACACTAATATGCAAAGAAGCAATCCGGAAGATAAACTGCTCAGAGAGACAACATGGTTTCTGCTTGGGATATTTCACCATACCAAAGAAGGATGGAGGTCTGCATCCCATCTTAGACCTGCATGGAGTGAACTGTTTTATCAAGACCAAAAAATTCAGGATGACCACACTACAAAGCATCCTACCATTATGGCAAGAGGAGGATTGGTTCGCATCTTTAGACCTGAAGGATGCTTATTTCCATATAAGAATTTACCCTACCTATAGACATTTTCTAAGGTTTCTGGTTAGTACGGAAGCATATGAATTCAACACACTCCCATTCAGCCTCACCACAGCACTGACTTTGAAAGGCCATTACAATTATGGTTCAATCGCATTCACCATCCCAAGCACAATTCTCCATACCAACTACTCAGGCCTCCACGCTCAGTTCTACAGACTCTATGCTGGTGGCTGGTCGATTCAAACTTAACTCAAGTGATTCCGTTCTAACCATTGCGCTCTATACCTGCACATCTCGAAATAGATGGGGAGCTCATTAAACTTCCTATCGAGCTCAAGGAATGTGGCATGGGCACAAAAGAAGGTGGCACATCAATTACCTTGAAGTGTTAATGATTTTCAAAGCCCTTTGTTATTCAAAACCATCCTGATGGGCAGGACCATACAAATAGCATCAGACAACATGTCAGCTGTCTTCTGTTTAAACAAGCAGGGAGGAACGCAGTCAGTTCCCTTAGACCATCTCACACTGCGTCTCCAGGATTGGTGCATTGATCACAGGGTGTATATTCAGACAGGTCATCTGGCTGGTACTGAGAATACAGAAGCGGACTCCTTAAGCCACTACATGTCTACAACTCATGAGTGGGAGGTCAACCAGAGAATCTGCCAACAATTGTTCAACCAATGGGGAACACCCAAAGTAGATCTCTTCACTACTCAGCAGAACAGGATTTGCAACTTATACTGCTCCAGAGCAGGGATAGGAGAGGATTCCCTAGGGCAGTGATGGGGAACCTTTTAGAGACTGAGTGCCCATACTGCAACCCAAAACCCACTTATTTATCACAAAGTGCCAACACTGCAATAAAACCTGAATACTGAGGTTTTAGTTTAGAAAAAACAACTCACAGCCATCCATATCTGCTGTCCTCTCAGCCGTCCTGCAATAACAACACCATCCCACCTCTTGGTATGGTAAGCTTGCTGATCACCCATATGTGTGATGCACAGAGACCAACAAAGAAAGGCAGGTTGCTTACCTGTAACTGTTGTTCTTCAAGTGGTCATCTGTGCATTCACACAACCGACCTGGCAGGCCCACATTGGTGCTGGTGGATGGATGTAGACATGCGAAACTATTGTCTAACGTGTCAGTACCAGTTGGGGTGAACAGTAGCTCTCACACTCACACATACACACACACATGAAAAAACAGCAGGCAATTTATTTTATTTCATTTTATTTCTATGATGCCCCATAATCTGAGGTTTCTCTGGACAGCTTTATAGAATGCAATTCACAGAGAGGCTATTCAAGGTGAAATTGCTCAGTGTTTTGCTAGACAGCTTCCAAAGGAATATAACAGGCTAAACCAGTGATGAGGATGTGTTACATTTTAAGGTATAGGAGCTGTGAAAAGCCTTAGTAGCAATTTGCTTGTCTACACTGGACAGGCTGGAGTTGCATTTGCGTTGTATTATTTTTTCAAACAAAGTCACCTCAGATCAGATCTAAATGAATTCTGAAGGGGACCACACACAAAAGTAGATATCTATAATCTGGAAAGAACAGCATCCATATGTGCTATAAAATGCAACTGAAGAAAGGATGATTCCAGAGAAAAGGGCTAGTATGGAGGCTTCCATGGTATAAATGGCTAATGAGATAACTGCCTTTATTTCAGTAGAAGAAGCTCAGCATCTGAATTGATACAAAAATTTTCCTAGGTTGTTCAGATACACCAGAGTACAGTTGATTCTTATTTAGAAGATATCATCTTGAGCAGCATGGAGACTGCAGCTGAAGATCAAGCAAGAGAAGAGATTCAGAGTCTGGCTGTGCAAGTCAACAATGTTGCTTATGAAATGGAAGCACGGTATGTGTTCTCAAGGGAACAGCAATATACACAAGACAACTTGTGGCACTTTAAAGACTGATCAATTTATTTCATAGAGCCCACTTTCTCAGTTTCATCTAATGACATGAGCAATTCTAGTTCACACAAGTTTTTATATATCTGTTCTTTAAGGTGCCACAAGACATTATTGATTTTATTGCAGTCAGCTCAGCTATCTCTTTGAAATATGAAACTTCATGACACAGAGGTACTGATGTTTTAAAAAATGGATTTGAAAGGTCCAGCTAACCTAGAAAGCAGCTGTTGAAGATGTATTGGGTTGATGATGAGGAACACACCTCTGTGCTCCGCACAGATTGCCTGTACCATTTAGTAAACTTTTAAGACGTTTGTTGCATTCAAGCAGATGTAAACTTTAAAGATTGTAACACCATCAGTGTGTTATATATCTCATCTGATTTAAAGCAGCAAATGCAGGTCCTGTTATTCCCCTGCAGCAAGCTCACTTTGCATCCTGTTGATGGAGATGAGATGTCATCATATTGTAATGGGTGCATTGAGACCCTCCCCCACCCCAATGATATGACGCTCTCTCACGGTTCACCTTATGTGCAAATAATACCGTTTTTTCAGAAATAGCTCTAGATGTGTAACAGAAAGAACTGAGGAACTGGGATAGGGAGAGGGGAAGTGAAGAAAAAGACCAAGAAGTAACTTCTTAATATGCATTATCTGCTCTGCAGGCGAAGTCACCTGCAGTCTGAAGAGATAGTGGCAGAGCTAGTTTATAGCTTCTTGATTCCTGAAGTGCGGAAAATGGCCATTAAGGAGAAAGGTAAGAAATGTGGACACCTTGTTTGCCTCTGCAGACAACTTTGCATTCTTAATCCCTGACTCCAGCATCCAGCCAACTTTTTCTACTGAATAAATTGAGTTCAATTTTGACAGGCTAAAATAATAAATATTTGCTAATTCTTTTATGAGGTCTTACCCAAAGTAAGACTGAATGTGGTATTCACCCACTGGTGGAATGGTTATTCTGGTGGAACATTCCCCACTGCAGCTTGTACGTCTGATGCAGAGGATTGGGGCATGCTGTTGGAGGGGGGGAAGGGGACATTCAGTTGTTTATATGACATGGGATGCAGCCCCAAGCACTAGTAGGACTGATGAGATTACTTCTTCATCATGGTCTCTGTGCATCATATATGTGGGCTTTGCCATGCAGGGCAAGGCCTGGATCGGAGAGAAACCTTCATAGCTCAGCATCACAAAGTGGGTGGGAGCTCCCACCATCCCTTCTAGGTCTTAGGATATGAAGGGGGGACCCCACAAATGGGCCCCCCATTTCTTTCCAGCTGCTCTCATTGCTGCATCACCTGATCAGATCAGCTTCTAGCTTCTGTAGACTCCCCAAGACCATGCACTTCCACCCAGTTCAGAGGCTCCTCTCCTGCACGTGACTCTCAATTGCCACCATCGACCACTCCCATGACCCCCAGACGCTGCACTTCTGTCTCTCTGCATGTTCTTCGTCGTGGCCTCTTTGCATCACACTTATGGGTGCTGCGCTTGTGCAGAGCCTGGGCCGGAAGATTAGAAAGCTAACAGTTTTTGGCTGGAAACTCCGCTCCCCTCCCTCTCCATAGTATAAATAGAGCGGAGTGTCCGCCATTTTACTCAGTCTTTGTGACCACCGTTCACAGTGCCTCGTGCCTGTTCATCTCTCACGTAGATCCTCGTGTTCACTGCTTGTTCTCACAGTTTTCATATATCTCTTCTCTATCTTTTATACTCCAAGTTTTTCTCTTGCCCGTTTCTCAAACCTTTCGTTCCTATCTTAAAAAAAAAAAAAAACCAAAAATATTATCTTACCCTCTGCACTGTCTTCTTTTCTGCGATGGCGCAGCGAGCAGCATTCCGCAAATGTATTGAGTGCGGATCCAAAATGTCCCCAGCAGACCCGCACGACCTATGCCTTCTCTGCCTCGGCAAGGGGCATAGAACTGATAAATGCAGCCATTGCTTGGCCTTTACCAAGCAGGCTAAAAAGAACAGGGAGAATCATCTCCGCAAGCTCCTCTGGGACCAGGCCTTGATGCAATCTGACCAATTGGTCTTAAGGCCTGGCTCCTCTTCAGCTGCACCCTCTCAATGCTCTGCCTCCACCATTGCTGTGCCTTCAAAGCGCCCTGCTTCGGCTTCTACCGCTCCTCCGCAGCATCCTTCAGATGAAGGTGCCACTTCGATGGAGGCCCAGCAGTTACCTTCTCCCCCAGCCAAGAAATGGGAGAAGCGTAAACATACTGGCTCAGATAAGCCCTCTGCTCACAAGAAGCCGAGGAAGGAAAAGGTGGACAAGCCCTCCTGTAAGGGCAAGAAGCCCGACCACCCCAAACACCAGGGTTCGGGTTCATCAGGGTTTTCAGTACCGACCGCCGCTACAGGACCGACTCCCTCGGGACCGGCCCTGCAGTCTGCAATGCAGGTGACTCCACCGGGATCCCCCAGGCAGACTGTTGGGCCTGAGAGTGCATCTCCTCGGCAACCAGAGGAACCGCTTAGGGAGTCCATTTCCGATGGAGAGATCAGAGACTCCCCACCAAGGGAACGCTCTCCAACCCCGATGCCCGCAGCCGAGCCACCTGCAATTAGCCATTACCACCCAGACACCGAGGTCATTCGTCTGAGAGCCGAGATGAGGATTGGCCGATGCCTGGCTATGGTGGTTTCACTGGCTGGGTTGAATACCATCCATTTGGTTACCCACGGGACGGTCAGTCACCATCGGTCCCAAGGGGGGCTCCATCTACATCAAGGCGTTCAGAGTGAGGACGACCAACAGCTTTGGAAACCTCCTCTTCTAGCGACCGGTACCACTATCCTGAAGACTCGGATGAGTCGGAGGTGGATTCCACGTCTCCTGATGTGGTTATTGCCTCCCAGGGCCCTGGATCCCCTGACGAGCCGCATGTCACGTTCGCGGAGCTCATATCCCACCTCGTTCAGTCACTGGAGTTCGAGGCCCATCATCGCCCCAGTCCCAGCACCGATCGTTTTTACGACATCGTCAGGGGAGAGCAGTCTGCAGCCATAGCTCTGCCATTAATCACCACACTCCGCCAAGTGATGGTCCAGCCGTGGGACCAACCGGCTCAACCACAGGCCACGTCTCGTCGGTATGAAGCCATGTACTGGGTTCGAGAGGAAGACATCCCATTCCTACTTGGTCACCCGAAACCGAACTCAGTGGTGGTCAATCCTGCATACCATGACTTGGTGGACTATTCTGGACAACTTGTCTATTGGTGTTCCGTTCCGACCACCTCAAGCAACAGTAACCTTGTACACCGATGCGTCTCTCGTTGGGTGGGGTGCAGCATGTGCAGGACTTCATGTCCAAGGGCCTTGGAACTGACAGGAAGCGACGAAGCATATCAACTTCCTCAAGCTCTTGGCGATTTTCAGCGCTCTCAAATCTTTCGAGACTGTACTTCGGCATCAAGTTGACCAAATTGCATCCGACAACATCGCTGCTGTTTTTTACATCAACAAGCAGGGCAGGGCAAGGTCACTGACTCTAGCTCGTCTATCGATGGAAGTTTGGGATTGGTGTATCCCAAGGGACATAATACTATTGGCGGTTCACTTGGCGGGAACTGACAACGTAGAAGCGGATACGCTGAGCAGACAGATGTCAACGACCCACGAGTGGGAGTTGGACAGATGACTTTGCAAACACCTCTTCCATCTATGGGGATACCCAGACATGGACTTGTTCGCTACCCGAGACAACAGAGTATGCGAACTGTATTGTTCGAGAGTGGGTATCAGATTGGGATCGATGGGATGCCCTCATGATCCCATGGAACAATATGACTTTCTATGCTTTTCCTCCAATCCCTCTTCTAATGAGGGTCCTATCGAAAATAGTGCAAGACAATGCCACAGGGATATTAGTAACTCCGTGGTAGCTGAGACAACCTTGGTTTACCACTCTCCTTCAACTGTCCAGAGGTGTATTTCTTTGGCTCCCAGCACTTCCTCATTTGTTAACACAGCAGAATGGAGCGATCCGACACCCAGACCTAACCTCCTTGAAGCTGACTGCCTGGCGCATCAGATGAATATTGCTGCTGACTCGATACCAACGACATCTCAAGCATCGGAAAACCTGGCTCGACGAACTGTACAACCAACGTCTCCCTTGGACTCGACAGGGATCACTTCGGGACCGATAGCTTTAGATTCAGATATTCAAGTGATTCTCGAATCTGCTCTGAGGCCGTCCACACGTCGGTCTTACGTGGCGAAATGGAGAAGATTCTCATCTTTTGCCGAGTGCCATTCTTTTTCTCCGGGATTGGTCTCTATTGAGAACATTTTACAATTTCTCTTTGAATTGCACCGTTTGGGACTTAAACCGTCATCTATAAAGGTTTACGCTGCTGCCATTTCACATTACCATGGTAATGTACAGGGCTCATCTGTTTTCTCCCAACCTATGGTTCGGTGTTTTCTCAAGGGACTACAGAGCCTTCACCCGTCCATTCATCCTGTTATGCCAACATGGAGCCTTTCCGTAGTACTCCAAGCGCTTACAAGGCCCCTATTTGAACCTTTGGCGACTGCTGATTTACGCCTAGTATCTTGGAAGACTGCTTTCCTTGTAGCCGTCACTTCAGCCCGAAGAGTTAGTGAACTTTGTGCTCTTTGAATAGATCCACTGTACTTGAATTTTCATAAAGAAAAGGTTGTTCTTCGAGTGGATTCAACGTTCCTATCTAAGGTGGCTACATCGTTTCATATGAATCAGGAGATTATCTTACTTGCATTCTTCCCATCACCATTGAATCCGATTGAAAGGTCTCTTCACACTCTCGATGTTCGATGCTGCTTAGCCTTTTACAGATCTCGCATGGAATCCTTCAGGAGCTCTAATAGACTCTTCGTTAAATATTCTGACTATAATAAGCTGCAACCTGGGCTGCTCCATGCACTTTCGCCAAGCATTATCGGCTTGATGTGTGTGCCAGACAAGATTGCTCCTTTGGTAGAGCAGTTCTCTCCACTATTCTTCGTTGATGACACCTCCCTCCTCCGAGTCTGGTAAGCTTGCTAATCACCCATATGTGTGATGCACAGAGGCCACGACGAAGAAAAGCAGGTTGCTTACCTGTAACTGATGTTCTTCGAGTGGCCATCTCTGCATTTACACAACCCACCCACCGGCCCTGCTCAGTGTTGGTGAGTGGAAATGTTCTTCATCGGTACCATACTTAAATATTTAGCATACTGATGATGCTATTGTGATATCATCTTCAGCCTTAAGGGGGCGAACGTTTGGTCTTCAAGACTGAGTAAAATGGCGGACACTCCACTCTATACTATGGAGGGGGAGGGGAGCGGAGTTTCCCACCAAAAACCGTTAGCTTTCTAATCTTCCGACCTAGGCACTGCGCAGGCGCAGCACCCATATGTGTGAATGCACAGATGGCCACTCAAAGAATATCAGTTACAGGTAAGCAACCTGCTTAACTGCCACCCAGCCTGCTTATGCTAACAATGGCTGGAAAGTGCACATCTATGGGACACTGGGGTTCACCCTGCTCTCCCCTCCTGCAGTGCAACCATGACTCTCCATGGTCCCCCACCTTAACCTACCTGATGGATTCTTCCAAGCACTTGGAATCCTCCAGTGATGACCTCCCTTTGGCCCCAGCCACACCAGACAGCGCGCTGGCGCCCACCACTGCTGCTCTGGACACTGCCGCAATCTCACTGGCCCTGCCTTGCCCTGCCCACAGGCAGACGCCAGTCACCACCAGCATCAAT